TGCCATAAAGGAACTATCCCAACCTGATTGTCACTAAGGCAAAACGTCATATCCTAACCTAAACCAACAACGCAATTTTCCCAATTAACAAAATTTGGTTTGGGAATTAAGCAATGATGTCAGGGTGTAATGTGTAAATATAGTTTTAAGCAAGCCTTAATTTAATGCTTTAATTGAAAATGGAATTTCTAACCAGTATATTGTAAAAACAGATTGGTTAACCAATTCCTCGGTTGTTTTAACCAATTTGTTTTTGGCAGTATAATGTACAACAAAACTGAAAAAGGGCTGCCATGAAAAGGGCAAAAACACAAAGCATTGAAAAACAACTTTACTTTTCCATGATCTCATTGACATAGCCGAAAGCACACCTGAAAGGCTGAATCGAATAGCATGAAAACAAAACTAGAAAATGTTTGGCAAAGAAACGACCACTATATATTATGCTCATTTCAGTATTCATTTAAACTATTCATTCGCCTTTGTAGTTGCTAACTTGCTAGCAACAAAAGTCTGAGAGGCCCTGCGACTAACAGGTCAAATCTGATTTAATTAATACAGACTAATATGACAGAGTTAGTCATAGACAATTTTTAAGTCGAAGTGTCGAACGTAGTCATAGACCACAGAACAGCTAACGTACTCATGAGAAAAGTGTACATGCAGTACTGTCAGTACAAATAATGATGACCAAATGAGCAGTATAGATTATAGTACAATCATTCAAAAGACTGCATATTATCTCGGCACATACAGAACTAGTTAAATGATCAAGAATAAAGGTTTTCTGGAACGTATTTCTAGAACTAAAAACGTAGGAATTATTCGGAAAATAATTTATTGTAAAGAGATGAAAGTAGCAATTTTCTTAATTCCAAACCGAATGTCGCAAGCAATTACATGGTTAAAAAACCAGTTCACCTTTGCTAGAACACATAATATTACAACAAAATACCAGAGTTCTGTCTGCTTCACTTTTTTCCCTTTTTTCAATTGAATTATAGAGATCTAAATTGGCAGTTCTATTATGAACTGGTATAATTTTGAAATCTGAACATATTGTAGTCCGTTGTAAACTTTACAATCAAAGCTTGATTTTAAATCCTTTATATCAGTATATAATCCACAAAGATCTTTTTAAAACCATGAAAATATATTTACAAACAAACTTGCACCTGAAACAGGAAACGCTTAATATGCAGGTATTTCATCTTTCTATCAACCCAGTCAGTTTACTAAGACTAAGACACTAAAAATCATCGAGTATTGTGTTTTATGGGTTAGCAAGGTTTCAGTTAAAAGTTCTTTATCTAACTGCATGATTTGCAAGATTTCAAAAAATTTTTGACAATAAAGGAAGTGAATGAATAGAGTTTAAAGAGCGGAAATGATCTAACCGCAATTTAAAACTTAATTGGCATCAGGTTACATAAAGCACGCACCAAGAATTCTTCACGCGCAATCAGTGAAACAATAACTGCAGTCGAGTGTTTCTGCGTCCTCTTTGCCCTGAATTCTAAGACGAATAGCATACTCCTATGCAGTGAGAGATCAGCTTTACATGTCATACAAGTAACATACTTAAGGTGAGTGGAACGTCCACTATTTTGTAAGATTTTCTTTCATATTGTACGGTTGTATGTTCGTACTAATAATAATCACTCGATCTCAGATCACGGTATATATTTTTCAATAATATTTTGTTTCATATTTAAACACATGTTTGGTCTTAATGGTCAGTAATACTATAAAGCATATAGTTAAAGCCTGGTTAAATCAAATACTTTCATTAAAAATTGCGGACGCAAATTCAACGATAGATCAGCACAGTGTGCAATAATTGTGCATGGTTAGGTATGTGTACAGTATGTACGTTGTGTTGCATTTGGCATTGCCCATTGGAAATTTCTTCAGTTTTTCTATTTTACTCGTTCTCTAAAAACAATTTTTCACTCTTCTCACCACACAATAAATCGTTAGTTAATAACATGAAGCAAAGTATCGTTCGACTGTAATCGAAGATTTAAATTTTGAAATTCTACTCATTCATATTGATTTTAAAACAATTTCCATACTACGAGTACGTATTGTACATTTCTCAGTCAAAAAGAAGCTCATTCTCACAAACTGCTGTGATATGTTCTTTTTGTTCATTTTTTTATTGTTGTTGTTCCTTGCCGTTATTGTTGTTGTCGTTTTTGTTGTTCTTTTTGAAATTATTTACTCACTTTTATATCGCTTTGACTAATATTCTACAGTATAATAAGTACACAATGATATATGTTAATTAGTTTTAAAGTGTACACACCCAAAAAAGCAGCACTGTGGGTATAATGGCGATTTGCCAGTACATTTTAACTAGAAAATTATCTTGATTCATTTGGGCAATATCTAGTGTCACAACTTGAAATTTTGTATCATGAAATAACACGCAACACGATGTTTCTTGTATAGTCATTATCCATAAGAATAAGACGTATCCCTACAGATCCATAGATGATTTATATAATGTCGACTGTCACTCTGTTTATTTTTTGACTCAAGTGGGTATTGTCATTGTTCATTGAGGCATTAGTTCAATCAGCCTGTCACTCACAGTTTTGTTTCAAGTTAAAATATCCTGAGCACCAGCGCTCTTCACTTGACGAGTAAAATCGTAAACGTAAAATCGAGTAAACCAATAAAGTAGGGCGCATTAGTGGGCAATACAGCATTTTTTGATAAACATGTTTTAATTAAACATGTTTTATTAATTAACGACATTTTCTCCAAAAGCTCGACTCGTCGAGGGAGATCATGTCAACTTATTAAGCATACAGTTAGAGTACGTCGTGTTTAAATAAAAAAGTACAAGCATATAAAAAAGGAACAGAAGGAGTATAGTTAAGCTCACCAAAAGAAACCACAAAATCTAAAGATAAACTATTCTAGTATTGCAACTTAATTGGCGACTTACGCCTCAGGTAAGAACGTCAAACTGTGGGTATTGTTATTGCCTGCATTGGTTCCACATCAGCTTCTTAAAGCATCTCCTTGACTCTGTCTAAGGTGAATTAAGTACAGTTTTACAAAAACTTGCCAATGAAAACGCCTAAAAATACAAACTGTCGAGTAGGCCCTACAGAGTCAATATCAACGACTCCTGCATAATTATCTAATAAAGAAGAATTAACCTATTATTTTCTCGATAACTGTGTGTTGACCAGCATCTGCCATACGATGGTGCTTAGTGAAACCTTCCTATTATGTACAAGGAAATGAATGCAAAACTAAATCATACGAGGTATAATTTAATTGCATTTACAACTTGCATCATCTGCGTGTTATTATAGAACTAGTTCATGTGCGTGTTATTTACGAGCAATACCAGGGAACCTAGCTTACCTACCGAGATAATTAGACCACTCTGATGTGGCACAATGAAAAACCAACTCGATCCAAAAACACCGCCTTGTGTGTTTATTAAATTAGCCTAATTTTGTGCTAACAATAGAATTCTTCAAGCACAGTGTGACTCGTGGTTTTAAAGTGCGGTAAAGGCGTGGAAAATATAGAGTGCCCGGCACTGGTGCCCAATGGCAATGTTCAAACTGGTTCCCAAACATGTTGAGTACTACCTCTAGAAGTAGTGCCCTTTCTTGGGCTTCAAACTAGGCGCCAAAACAAGTGACGGGCACTAGTGCTGGGCACCAAATCTGAGCGCAGCCTTAGTCAGAGCAATAATTTTGTATTTTGTTTTCATTAAACCTTTCAAAACGCTCAGAGAAATTCCTATGTTTCCTGGCAAGTTAGTACTCACAGGCTTCAAGGAGTTTCCACTTTTTTCTGCAATAATTTTTGTCATGTGAATATGACGTTGCAAATATCTAAAGTATGTCCCAGCGTCATTTAAAATCCAATTTGTCTCTAAAGGATATTGAGAGGAAAGTAAATAATGAAGGATTAGTATCAGAGGAAGTTTGTTAACTAGCAAGAGAAAATAACAACGGCACGGTCACTAAAAATTACGGGAACCACTGAGTATTTTAATAAAATATAAAACAACGGTAACTCCGAAAATAAAATTCGATAGGTTTTCTTTCAATGGCTGCGAAATGATAAAAACTTTCCAGAGGTGAATGTCAATATAAACTTTTGTGGGTAAAAGAATGAGAGATGTGTATAGATGAAGGTCACTGATTGAATGAATGTCATAAATTTCAGATAATTTATGGCAGATGTGTCTATCCGCGAAACACCTGACTAGCACAGTGGTAGTCCTAACCCAACTCTAACCTCCGATCGAACCCGCGGGCTTTCTGCTTCTTGAGGGTGGAGCGCAGCCTGGACCCAGCCGGTCCCAGGTCTTTACACGGCTAGCTTTGGCTATTTTGAGTTAGATTTTGAGCTAGATTTTGGTAAATATGACGCCACGTGTGAAATGAAAGCAAGTGTGAGCAAAGCATGGTGTAGCACTGACTATGCACTGACCAAACCTGCCAAATGCAGACTTTGATCTAGGCTGGGTGGAGACGTCACGTTCCAACATCATCTTTCAAATATTGCTGCGAAGCGTGTTTGCCTAAAACTGGGTATATGTGAAAGCTTCGTTTTAATAAAAATTTCACCATCATGGCGTATTCTTTCATAACCTTTGTATACGAATTTTGCATGCGTGTAATCGCAACCAGATGTATACACTACACATGAGGCAAAGCCAAAGATCTCGTGATGACTAAAAGTTACCACGCTTCGATTGCTTGTGCAATATGTTGTACTACTCTGTCCCACTATACTGTGCGTCTAACCCCGAAGTGTAATATATAAAACATATCATGAAGTTGAACATTGGCATTGCTAATTCAATTTTACGCACAATAAACTGAAAAGTTTTAACGCCTTTGGCCTGCACTACAATACCACACATTAGGTGCATTCATATATGTGTTTCTTTACAAATATTTTTTTTCTTTTTTATTCATTTAATTTTGTACACACAATATACATAGTTACAAAAATTACTGGCTAAATGAGAACTATACATTATTAACAATGCAAAATATTCTTGTACTTCATATCAACATGACTATCATAATGTAATAACGATAATAATTTGATAATTTGAGTTTTATCTCTAGTAATCGACCTTCTTTATTAATGGCCTCCGTACCTAAGATGGTAAATTGCCCTCCGTCTCCAGCCCCATTGTAAACAGAAGCGATGGCCATTCGCCGATGGATGACAATTATTGAGTGACATCTTCAGCGGAATCTACACTTCGCTGCGATATCATCAACAAATCTATGACACAAAGGAGGCAAACACATTCATGTGATAACTTGAGGAAAAGTTGGTTAACGATAGCACCAAGCGAAGTCTGTGGATTCCGCTGAATTCAACAATTCAACAATTGTTACCCTGATCGCTTCAGTTTACCATGCATGCATTGGGCTGACGGCAAGTTACCAGACAGTTAGACACGGAGCTCATCAGTAAGGAAAGTCGATTAGAGATAAAACCAAGTCAATCACGTGGCATAAGTCGACCCAAAGTGCATCTGTATAGGGCGGGAAAAAGACTTCCCGTTAACGACGCTTTCTCCCCAAACAAGGTCTATGAAGGTCTGCCAGACACTAAAATAAAAACTGTCCCGTTCAGCAACTGCATTCAGCAATTCTCCATAAAGAGTCATGTCTGTAGCTAATTACGTACATCCGTAGCTAGAACAGGATATAAAGTTGAAACCACTCTCATTTTCTATTGTGTAAAAGCGCTGAAATACAGCGGAGGGACGGACCCAGAGTGGGCGAGATTTCCTTATAGTCCAGAATGAGGAAGGAATACGAACATTATACGCTCAGAGAACGTTTCCCTGTTTAAAAGTTTTCTTGAAGTGAGTCTCTATACAAAGTGTCCCAAAAGTGTCTTCCTTTAGAAATCACTCTCGTCCGTTATTATTATACCTTTGGCTTTGGGAATTTAATTTAATTTAATTGTACATTAACGGCGGAAGTGTTCAATATCAGTCCGTTTGAATCAAATATTCACCAAATGTTCGCCAGTGCAAAATATGGTAAAGTTGTAAAATTAACAAACAATAAAATAATATAAAAATTATTCAGGAAAATCTTAAATCGCGGTACCGTTACGCTTTTGAGTTGTGCTCCTGTCGGTTTTAAGTTCTATTTATTAAAATATCATTTTTATACAGTAAAATAGTTGTTCTAAAAAATTGTGTTCGGTTATTTTTGTTTATTTCGTCGTTCCGCTGATATGGCATTTCTTTGACGACTGCAATATATTTCTGAATTGTTTGAGTGAATTGCTCTTTATTTTTAAAATATCCAAAATTAAAAAAAAGCCGAACACAATCTTGAAACTGACGTCTTTAGCTATGTCCTGTGAAAATTTGAGAAAAATTGGTGAAACCCGCAGGAGCGCAACTCGTTTGAAAATCAGGTAGTTACCGTAAAATTCTTCGGGAGAAAATTGAATTTGAATATTACATTTTCAATGTTTTTCTTATTGCAGCGAAATGTATTTTATTAAATAACTCTGTGAGTTTTCAACATTTTTCGTTCAAACTTGGTCAGATAGTAGAACTAGTCTAATGCTTTCATGGAAACCAATAAAAAAATTTTAGGTAAAATTAACCCTCAAAGGTGTTCTGTAACCTTAACACTTTGGTTACACTTTGTGTTAACCGATAAGTTGTTACTCTGCGTTGCTCTGTATAGTCAGTTGAACCATTTTTATACTCGAACTGATGGTAAGACGAATTTGTAATTTGACATTTTTGTGTTGCTGTTCGTTTTAGAAGCCATTTTAAATTCCCATGCAGAGGTATAACAACGCACGTTAACAACAAAAGAGTTATTATATAGGGTGACTTTTTTCGGGACACCCTCATGTACTGTAGAAGAGGAGTTGTAACTCAAAACCATATATAAGCAACAATTAAATAAGACACAATAACTGTATTAATTCTAGACTTGACCACAAGTCGATCTCGAATAGCGAGCGGTGAGCGGCGAAGCCGCGAGAGCAAAAAACTGGAAAGGACTTTGGGAAAGTCTATATATTGATTCCAATGGAGCAAAGTAAGCAAGAACGAAAAAGTATCAAGGTTCCTTTCAATACAATGGAGCAAAAACATGGAATTTGCCACCATGCATCAAGTTTTAGAAATGAAACTAGTTTTTCAAAATTTAAGATATACATCTTTTAAGATAGATAGATCTTAAAAGAAGTCCCTAAACTGATTAAACATTCTCTTTACTCATTCATTCATTCAGAAAATAAGAGAGAGAGAGTTACAATATTGAATGGTCGATGCCATTGTAGGTAGAGACGAGCAGACAGCTGCGGTGTCAAGGATATGCAACTATAAGTATACAGCTAATTCAAAAAAGGTTGTCCTTTTTAAACTCTAAACCTTAAACTCTAAGCGCGCAAAGCTTAATGGGAGCACAAGTTTGAAGTTTAGTATAGTTGAATATTGCAGCTACTTGTGAATGATTGTTCTCGTAAGGAGATATTTACCATGTCTCTGAGAAATGGGCCTAATATATGATTTCTAAACTGATTAAATGATGCTCCCATTATGCTTTGCACGCTTAGCGTTTATAAGGTTTAGAGTTTAGGGTTTGCAAACGACAACATTTTTTGAATTAGCTGTATTGCCAAACTTCCTTAACTTGCCGATCTTCACTCAAAACGTCGACGTTCTCCTTGTATTTTTTAGACCGTTGCATATCCTTGACACCGCAGCTGTTTATTCACAATATTAATTTTACAAAGGAAGATGCTGAATATTGTGTGAGGCGGTATATTCCAATAAGCGGAAGCTTTATAACATCAAAATTTCGCTGTTTTTCTCTTCCCATACTTGTAGTAGGCAGGAGGTCAAAACAGATGCAAGTACACGTGGCAGCTGGTTTACGCTCGTGGCAGGCACGAACGTCAGTGAATTCTCTATATGGAGAGAGTAAGATGTCTTTATAGAGTAATGGCTGAGCATCACAATAGTTTTTTTATGATCATATATATACGGGCTGCATATAAACTCATACAGCTAACTATTCTTGACAGTTTGAGGCACCACTTGGCACTTGCATGCAGACGAATTTGTTGTAAAGACAGCAATATAGGACAAATGTAGAATTTCAAAAGCTATTCAACAATTGAAATGAAAATAAATTCCTTCCAAGATCTAACCAACCTCGCAAGCCAGGGTCTTTTACTTCCGCACGGCGCCGGAGCCCGAGCGCAGGTAAAAGACCCTGGCTTGCGAGGTTGAGATCTAACATGATGATAAATATTTGTCCATAAGAGTGACACCTTGATACTGGACATCACATTATTGATCAGGCCACCAAAATTAAGGGGCTCGAGAAACTTAATTTACCAAATATATATATATATATATAAACTTTTGAAGATATTAATTATATGGCATTGTAGGGGTATAATGACTAATGTAGAACACTATACATTCAAATCTAATTCTTAGGCTCTGTGGAAATACTACGTAAATATTTAATTGGAAAATAAATATACGTGGTGTTCTCAGAAAACAAATTAAAAAATTATAGTGTTATGTTACCATGCAAGCATATATAAGTAAGGGACTTTATGTCATAGAATCAGGTAGGTATAAGACAACTCCGTCCGATATATTTAGCATTTTTAATTCTTTGTTTGCAATCACGTGACTTTTCATCCAAATGACGGGCAATCAAACAACTTGTGGACGATTTTCTCCTATCAAAATGGCTGTAGCAAGAAAAACTGAACGGTAATTCATCTTTCGAGTCTTAAACTGTCTCTAAACTCGATCAATACATTAAAATAGTCGTTTTTTGTTATACCTGCCCGTCAACTGAAATCCCAAAATTACGTCATTGCAAACAAAGAATTAATTAATAAAGATGAAAATATCTTAAATTTCACTTTGAAAAGATATAATTTATATAATTTGAAAATTTAAAGTCAATGCACGAGGATCATTTTTGGTAAATAGACAGTCTCTAAACCTTTTTCAGATTCACACTGGAAATGTTTTTCAAATTATCCTGACTATGGAAATAGTATGGATCTTCGTTGGCAATAGTAGGAAATCCAATTTCCATACAAATTGCAATTTCCATACTATGGCCGATATATTGTGGAAATAATATGGATATACTATGGATTTACGCCCGTATTCTAAAAGCTCACTCACACTCAATGAGTGGAGGTTCAATCTGAGCTTCTCTCGAGTGTCAGTGCTGTTTTTGAATAGCTGGAGGGCTAGTGTCGTACCTTACTATGTGACTACTAACCCTCCAGCTATTCAAAAACAGCATTGACACTCAAGAGAAGCTCAGATTGAACCTCCACTCATTGAGTGCGAGTGAGCTTTTAGAATACGGGCGTTAGTACTTAGTCGGTGTAATTGCAGATTCTATGGATTTCACTATTTTTTCCAGTGTCATATTCTCCAAGAAAACATATCGAATACGTAAATTTTGTATATATAGATTATAGGAAGTAAATGATATAGCCTATTACCAATAAATCTCACTTTGTTGGTAATGTTGTTGATGAAAAGTTACAAATCTGACATTATGTACCTGAATACACACAATCAGAATAAACAATAAAGGAACTCAGAACCATACTGTCCATATAGGCTTCGGTAGCGCAATCGTCAGACCACTTCTACACGGTAACGTGGACTTTGGCGTGGTCATTAATGATAGGTTGCGTGTGTTTGTAAAACAGGATGTAGATTGTTGATCATATATCGACCTTGAACTTAAAGACTGAAATAGAACAATATTATGGCCATCATTGCGGTATCTTGCGTATTGTAGAGTGGGCGATCCCGGTCCTTATAGCAACTCAGTACTCATTCACCAAGCATGGTCATATTACTCAATCACTAATGTTTTGCGTGCATGCATGCTGTTTCTGCTGTAAAAAA